TATATATATATATATATTTGAGGAAGTGGTCCTAGTATTAGGAAGGACAAACTTTTTCATGACGATGACTAATTATACTTGAAGACTTGGTTTTGTTATTTTTTCAATTATATTCAGCACAGATTGTGGAGTTTTGTTGGCCCACCGCTATAATGTTGGAAGCTTTCATTGTCCTTAGTATTTTAGAGTTGAAATTGGATGAAGTCAGAATGAGGAAGACATTGCAAATGACAAAGTCCCAATTGTTCTAAGCGTGTTGACTCCATCAATTGGTATGTCACAGCTTATGGTTATCCATTTGTACTTGAAATAAAACAAATTCATAGCTTTATATTCATGGTTGCTAGTGTTTTATTTTAAATTCAAATAATTCCTATGTCAATCTTCTGATATTAACTCTTGTTATGGCTGTATTGCTCATCAAGTTTACATCAAAGAACCAAGTGATGCTAATGGTGTTGATCGAGTCAAATCGAAAATGATCATCATGAAAAATGACATCATTTGATACAAGAAGTTAGTGGTTTAGATTATGATGGATGGAAATTCTAGAAAATCCACAACACGAAAGGTTGAGTAATCAATGATGGTATTTTGTAGGAATCTGCAGGAGAAGTGGTGAGAGGGTTATGTTGATTGAGAAGGCAGTGGTGTAGATGCGTTCGATTCAAAACTGAAGTGGAGTTCTCGATTGAAAATATAGATGTGTTGATGTTTTATTTTAATTGGACTCCTTCAATACATGAGCGTTTATGGATGAAAATATGCATGTTGAATAATCTGAGAGGTTAAGACTTCTGTTGCTGTCCTATTTGAATATATTGATTTTACTATTAAATTGGATCAAGGTCATGTTAAAAAAATTTGCAAATGGTTATGGGAGTTTATTCTGGAGAAGTAAGATTTCTGTGAATTTTGTTTTGATGGATCTTTATACACCTCCAGGGCTTCAATTAATTAGAAATCAAAATCATACTGCAGAATAGGATCACAACATGTTAGAGTAATTCGGAGCAAAAATAAACCTAACAGAAGCACAAAAAAACGATCCCAGAAAAAAGCACACCAGGATTTATGTGGAACAACTCGAGAATGGGAAAAATCATGGAGCCACACCACCATAAAATTTTCACTATGAAAGCCAAAAAAGTATAGAATACTCACTCAGATCTCATCTCTACAATCGATGGAACATATAGGACTTCGCTCCAACCCCTTCTTCTAGATCTCACAATAGAAAAACACGATGAAATCCTCATCTCCAACACTTCTCTTCTTCATGAGACATTTGTCGAAAGAACCGCATGCGTGAGCCTCACTTCTTAAATCGATATCATGAATTTAAGAATTGTTTTAGGATCGACCGTCTGAGAGCATGGTCACACCTCGTGTAAGCATAATTATTTAGCCTTCTTGGTACAAACTCGACCTTCAACCTTCTTGGTACAAACTCGACCTTCAACGGTGTGGCCAAACTAACTTGTAGCGTGATTATGCTGACCGACATAGCTACACCCGTTTCGGTCATGGATACGCCAAGCCCATGTGCATGATTTGTGGCATTGCAATTGTGTGTTGCAGATGCTTCTGAGCTCCTTCAACTGTGGGTGCTTCAGACTCCGCAAAATAACAATTCACACTTTATTTTCTAAAATAATTAATAATTGCTACATACGTCAAATTTGATATTTCAAGCTGGAGGCAGCAGAAGTTAAGCTTCATTAAATTTAGTATTACTATCTATGTTGTATAAACAGTATATAAGAGATAGTTTTATTATGTTGAAGCATCCATAAAAAGAAGTAATAGAGAGAGAAGGTGAATAGGAAACGTAGGAAAGACTCTCCTCAAAGAAAAAAATGAAGAAAAGTTTCAGTTGCTTGTAAGTAAACTTATTTAACATTTTCGTGAAAATTAATTATAAATTAAATATAGTTGTTTTTAATTGGATAAAATCTTCTATGTATCCAATAATTTACTTAATTATAAGCTAGTTGTAACCAAGTTACTACACAATGATGATATGAAATTCATAAATCATCTATTTATGCCGATCAGTGCACGTCAACTTTAATAAATTTTAGCTATAAATCATTGTTCTTGAAGTACTATAGAGTACAACCATAACATAACATTTTATGTATATGAAAAATATGTCAGCACAAATCTCAAGTCGAATGAATGACTCAGAAGAAAGATATGACAGATCAAACATAGTTGTTGAAGATCGTTTGGGATGGAGATTGACGAAGGTGTTTAGTTCGAGCGATCGATTTCTCATAGGGCGGCGATCAGAAAGCACCATTTCAGGTCAAAGGCCGACGGAGTCAAGGCTTAGCAGACTGTCGACGAACTTCCTAACAGCCAAATAAGTCATTTGGCCTTATTGTATGCGAATATCTCTGTAATTATCAAAAAACTCTTCTGAGAAGTCAATAATGAGGGGACTAATATGTAATTTTATAAAACTTGAACCTATTCCTATAAATAGGGGGTTCGTGACATGAATAAATGTTACACTCTTTTCACTGTTCTCTAGTGTGCTCTCTCTCTGTTTCTCATCTTCACTGTAGAATGTTCTTTACCTTGGGTGCATTTTCCAAACACTTTTAGATTCAACATCATTTAAGGTGGAGTGAGCGTGGAAACATGCCGTAAACTAAAAGAGGAGATCACAATTCACAATTTTCAAAGCCCCATAATTGAGCTCTATTTGTGCCACGTGTAAAAATTTAAATGCCTAGCTGACTCCACCCAAGCAAACATAATGTATAAAAGTTATTTTTAACATGCTAAATACATTCTTAAAGAGGAAAAAATCAGTTAAATACAGTCTATTATTCTTATGTCATGCAATTGCAAACTTAGACAAATAAAATACTCATTCTAGCAGTTTTGAGCAGAAGAATGACTAAAAGAACACAAGCTAACAATTAGATGACTACCAGACAAATTTAGTTGATCAGTGCTGCCTCATCTCTAATTCTTGAGAGCTGAGAAATGGTGGACTTCCACTGTAAGTACTGCTTCTTGTCATCAAATAGTAGTTGAACATTCCCATCATTGGTGCCAAGGTCTATTGAGCACAAGCCATGACCACCCTCTTCACAACCACCATTGTTTATTTCCTCCAAAGTGCTGGTAATCCTATCTAAAAATAGAATGATATTTCATTAAAACTATAAATCATATAATTTATAAGCTAGTTATGGAATTATATATTCTACAAAAAACAAGTGCGAACCTTGTAACTTTTTTTTGGTGGAAAAATTTAATATGTCAAGCACTTCTTTCGAAATATTTTTTTTATTTTCTAAAGGATTAAAGTGTCAAAATAGTCTCCTGGGGAAATTTAAGCCTATGAGTATGTAAAGTGTCATATGAACTCTCAAATTCTTTAAATTTGAGCTGAAACAGTTCTCTGTTGGGACTATTTCTATTTCAACCCATATTAAAGAAGTTTAGGGACTAAATTGTCACTTTTATAGACTTTGGTATTAAAATAACATTGCAAAAAGTCTGAACAATTTTGATACTTCTCCTTTTTTTTTTTTAATTGTTGATCAATATGTTAATACAAATACAAATATTCATATACTAAATGCAATCATACAAACTATATTCTATGAAAAATTAGGTATGATAAACTTACAATCTTTATGTGTGCTGATTGTACCCCTTAAGAGCTTCTTCACCAACCTTAATGTAAGCATATTATGCTTTAGGTAGATCCTTACTTCCCTCACCTGCGGCCTCCCTGCATCATAGCAGGTCATGCACATGCTTAGATCAATATAAATCATACAAATATTTTCCTGTAATCCGCAAGGTTTATAAATAACAGATTGTTACAGCATGCAAAAAGGAGAATAATTGAATAAAATTCTGCATGTATTTTAGTATGTTTGCCCATTATTATGTTTGTGAGAGTAGCTTTTTATAGTTTTTCTGTGTCTGATATTGAATTTCAAAATAATCTGACTAAATATATAGGTTCTAACCAGTAGGTGAACATTTGAGGAGCTGCATTCCTCTTACAAGGATCAATTTGTCTTCTGAATTATGTCTCTTTGCAGCTGTCCTCATCTCGAGTGTTGAAGCTCCTCTCAAGCCTGCATCAAATGACATAAAATGAAGCTTTTTCAAGTAAATATGATCAATTATTCTTCTTTGATAAGTTGTCACTAGATATTATTTTCTTATATGATAGGATTTCAGTGATTTTGTATGGAAAAATAATGATTTTGAGAATAAATAAAAAATATATTTTTTTTAATTTGCAAATTGTAAATTGAAAATGATATCGGAAAAGAAGTATAGGAGTAGAATTCAACAAGCAGATAGAGAACAAAATGCAAAGAACAGAAAATCGGAATAAAAAAGAAACGAAAGTGAACACTAAACAAATAAATATAAAAGATACAAGAGTTTCATATTCTTGTAACTGATCGAGATACAGAAATTAGCACATGAAGGATCAATGAAAAAAGAAAATCCGAGACATCACCATCAACAACGGAGGGGTACAGTTTCTACCATCCAACGCAGAGGCCACAGACTTGTCCCCATTCGAGAACCACCAAGAGAACTGAATCTCTCACAACACAAGACCACGTATTTATAGACACTAAGCACCTCCTTATTACAAGTGCCACATTCAAATAAAAAATACAAAAAATAGAAAACTAAAACATAAAAAATTGAACTTTAACATAATATAAAGAAAATTAATACTGACGCTCCCACTTCATTCTTCAGGATCAAGATTAACACACTTCATGGCATTCTCCTCAAGTGATAGGAGCTCCTTCTTCATCTCCATGGAATTGATCTCTTCCAAGCGATCTCATATACAATATTTCTCTTGCAAGCATCAGTCAAAAAGGATCCTCACCTTTTCTCAACAAGGAGCTCCTTCTTCATATACAAATTATAAAGAAATTGTTGAAAATGCAGCAAGAAAGTTTTGTTCTCCTGAAGGGCGGCAAGATTGTAAAAGAAGCAATGCAGGGAGAAGAAGACCATAGTTCGAAACAAGGAAAACAGCAATAACAACAGCACTGGGACAATATGGACTGGAATTCTTGCCAGCAGCAGCAAATAGAAAAGCTGGAAACCCAGAAAACCTGTAATTTGCCCACAGAAATCTGGAATTGCTGGACAACAAGCAAAAGAGAAGGCAAGGGAAACTTGGCTAATCAATCTTGGCAGGACTTGGGATCAAGAAGCCAAAGCTCTTATACCAAAATAATTTCGGAAAAGATGCATGTGCGTATAATTCAACAAGAATATAGAGAAAAAAAATGCAACGAACATAGATTTGGAAATAAGAAAAGCAAAGAAATGAAACACTAAACAAAAAAAGATGCAAGATACAAGAGTTTCCCACTCTCGTAACCGATCTAGAAATCACCTCCAGAATGATTGACAAAAGCATAAAACATAGGATGTCATCACCAATGATAGAGGGGTGCAATTTCCACCACTCAACACTGTGGCCAGAGACTCATCCCCAAATAGGGAGCCAAATTCCTCACTACGCTCAAATGAACCCCAAAGATCCCCTAATACAATACAAGACCGTCTATTTATAAACACTAAGATTCCCCTTATTACAAGTGTGTCATCCAAATATAAAACACACACAAAAAAAAAAAAAACCATAAAATTAAACTTTAACATCATAAAATTAAACTTTAACATAATATGGACAACACTAGTATTGACACTCCCGCGTCATTTATCCGGCTAATATTTAAGGCACTTCATGGCAATAAAAAAAAGTAGTTTTTTTTAATGAAATATTTACTTGCATGCCACACATTTTGTATGAGTTGACATATCTAACCCCCAAAGTTTGATATTTATACTTATAACATCTTGATCTCATAAAAATCTACATGAAAATTATATTTCACTTTTAAAAAGATAATGATAATGATATTTTTGATGTGATGTTAAAAATTCGAGTACTATGCACGTAAATATGAAGGTTTACATGCTAGATATGTAAGCACATAAATAAGAATTGTCATATGTATGTAATGCCCCTTTTTTAATTTGCAAGTTGAAAGCCCGCATGATTGATTGAATAGAAAAGCATTTACATACATACCACCCAATTCTTATGTATTTACATATCTACCACCTAAACTAACTTTTTTACATTTATACCACCCAAATCTTTCAAATCACATAAAAAATAACACCATTATAATTTTTTAAAACAGAAATACATATTTTCATGCATAGGGAAGCTGACAGGTATGCAAAAAAAATCAAGTTTAGGCATTAGACAAGTAAATACAAAAGAATTGAGTGGTATTTATGTAAATCTTCCTTAAATATATAAACTGAAAAAACTACAAATTACAAGCAAAACAGAGAATTAGTTACATGTTGCTGCAGCAGCAGTGAGTCCAAGAATTTCTGAAGCGCTCTGTGTTGCCAACCCTCTGTTAATGGCTAAGGAAATAAGCGATCTCTGAGCTCCCACAGCTTCAGCAGCCTCAGCACAAACTGTAGCTACGAGCGCTGCTGCTGAAGCAACCACCATGCTCATTTTCTGATCCCATCCCTCTCCCTGCACAGGAACAGTACCCATATTCCAATTACTCACAGAATCCATGCTGAAATTCGCCAGAGTTCCAGCAATGGCTGCTGCTAGTCTCGCAACTGAGAGGGCAGCGTGAACTTGGGCCATCTGAAGCCTTAGCTTCTCCTTTCTCTTCATCTGAGTTCTTCTTATAAATCTTGTGAATAGTTCTCCACTCAACAGAGCTTTCATAGACTTGAGACTCATCTGCATAAGTTTTAATTGAGATTAGAAGATTGTTTTGTTTATGTTTTATGCTTGAGATTACAGTAAGTACCCAATTGCTGTGATGAGATTTCTGCCTTTTTGCTGATGAAGTTGTCAACTTTTCAGTTGATAGCCATGCCTGTAAATAAAGCTAGAGCATCTGTCAACTCTGTATTTTACTCTATTTTTATACTTGTTCGAATTTGACTGAATTTGAAGATTTGTTTTACCCAACTATGATCTCTCATTATTGTAATTCCTCCTCTGACTTGTGCTGCATTTTCCTCTGACCTCTGCTCCTTCACCGCTCGATCGCTTTCTTCAATTTTCTTATCCTCAAGTTTGGGAAGAAGGATCTTCAAAAGAAGTAAAATATACATTTAAGTGAGTCAGGTTCACAAAGAGTAGTCATAGTACAAAAGAAAACTAAATTGAATACACTATGATCTTTGGGGTTCATCAAAGGTGCCTTTCGGAGGAGGTACTAGTTACATGTCAAATATTAATGAGGATTTATATAGAAAAAATTGAGTGTTCTGCTAAATAAAATGAGTTATAAGTTGTACATATTTAAGGAGTGAAAGACTGTGATTAAGAAATAAATAAAGAAGCAAATTAAATTTCTCAATACTGATAATGACTTGAGTTTAACACTTTATGCAAATCGGAAGGGACTATGAGGCATTTAGCGATTCATTCACAATAGAATGTTGTAGAAAAGAGAATGAATAGGATTTTAGTGGAGAAAATATTTTCTATGCCTTAAACTTATCTTTTATCAATGTGTCTTTGGGCTGATAAAGTATCCACAATTTATTTTCTTATCAACCAATGATTCCATATAAGTAAGGTGTTATACTCCTACAAACTAAAATTATTTCAAGATATTTGGATGTCTTAATTACGCTCCTATTGATAGTATAGAGCCCATATATCCAAAGACAAAAATTCTTAAATCTAAGTGTTCATCTAAGGAATACAAGGTATGTTGTTCAAAATAATAATAATAATAAAAGATCAATAAAAATGTTATTTTTAATGAAGTTGTCATCCTTCAACTCCTAGTAATTCTTATGAGGCAAAGCACTAAAAATCATGCTAGTGAACTTTCAAATTGGTTTGGAATATATACGAAGGTATAAATCTCAATATGTCTCAGGGGTATAATGTAATGCTATTCCCTAACCAACACCAACACCACATGAATAATATTTCAATTATAAAAGATAAGCCTAGAAGAGATATTAGAGCTCAATATAAATATAAAGAATCTGAATAGTTTCTTATGTAACTTATTTTGATTAATTAGTTTTGATAAGTCGAGAAGATGAATGATGGCCATGCAGGAGGAGATATCATATAAATGATGCATAGTGCATCGAACTTTGTGAGTCTGCATAAGTGTAAAAACTTTTCTCTCTAAATGAATGTTCAAATGGAAAGAAGAAATTCCTAGAGATGAAGAACCTCTGTACAAGACAAGACTTGCTGCAGAGGTTTACAGTCAGATTTCAAGAGTAGATTTTATATTTTGCAATTATAAAGCATATTTCAATTTGAGATTTACTTTATATTTTGCTTATCGCGATTTGAGCTTGAATAGTTGGATGTAAAGTTAATATTCTTACATGAAAAACTTGAAAAGGGCATTGTATGTGGCAAAATCAGAAATTTTTTCAACTTTTGGAAAGGAAAACTTTGTTAATTTGCTAATAAAATTTTTTTATTGCCTAAAACAGCACTCTCCCAAATAATCATACAGATGATTTGATACTTAAAAAAATAACGATCGATGGATCACTTTATATCAGCTCATATATATTAGTGATATACGTTAATGTAGCTAAGAATAAGAATAATATAAGAAAGGTTAAAGTCTAGCATAGTAAGAAGTTCAAATATAACAGATTCGTAAGCATAAATGACACATGGTATATGAATTGAAAACAAATAAATAAGCTTATGTAATATATTTAAATCCAAAATGGATACATTCATAAGTTCTTTGTAGGTTTAATATACATAATGTCAAATCAATTAGTACTTCATTATCAGCTCATTTCATACATTCATCTTCATCTCCATAAGTTGATGATAAGGCTAATTATAAATAATATCTTTCTATATTCTAGTGTATTGGGATCCCTCACACATGCACGCGCGCACAGATGTGGGTACACAAACGAGTGCGCGCAGACACACACACGCACACACACACACACAAGTAGCTTTTTCTTTTTTATATTTGTCGTATGCAGATAACAAAGAAAAATTCAATGAATTTTCAGATATTTGTGTGACACTACCAGCTAATGCTTACTTGTAGTTTGGATTAACTAGAGAGATGAAATAATTAGTTATGCTTATTAAGATTGTGTTAGAGATCTAAAAAAAAGTCTCTTACAGGATATATGTCATCATTTGTGGTTGTATTATCGGTTGGAGAGCTATTTTATTGATTATAGTTGCATTATTTAATACTAAGGCTGAGTGAATGACTATTAATGAGGCATGTAAGGAAGCTAGTTAGTTAAAATAATAATATGGCAAACTCATTGAAGCAATATTGCAAAGTACCATAGTTTTAAATGCTAATTATAGCATTATTTTCCTTACTAATGATCAGAAGTTTTAGGAGAAGACAAAGCACATTGATGTTTCTTGTTTTTTGGGGTGCAATATCATTTATTGTAGTTATATTTTTGTAAATAAAGTCAATACTCATGAAAATATCATTGATATGATGAACAAACCACTCTTTACTAACAAGTTTGAGCTACTGTTGATTTTGGGTCTTCTGTAAATGAGATGGAGGATATTTTGTCAAATATTAATGTCATATTTTATTTTTCTTATTTTTGGATTTTATGTTAAGATGGAGGTTGTTAGATTTTGTAATTTAAACTCTATTAGGCTTGGACTAAAGAACTTATTATACGGCATATATGATGCCACTTAAAATATGAGAACATTTTTTGGGGGATTTATATGGTAGTGGCAGAGGGTTTGGTTTGATATATACCCTCGTAGCATGGGCCTTTATTATTATTATTATTATTATTATTATTATTGTTGTTGTTGTTATTTTATGGCTATGTGTATATCACATGCAATTAGAGCAATTAGAGTTTCATGTTTATTTCATTTCAACTAGGTTGACACTCTCCACTTATACTTGTTTCTTCAATTTAATTAGTGAATTCTTCTTATTTTCCTATTATCTATTTTTCTTAGTTTTTTATTTTATAGCATAACTTTTGTTTACATTGTTTCATATAAGAAAAACTCCCTTACATAAAAATATTTTCTTAAAAAAAGACCTAGCTAGTCAATGGCACAATAACTGATTTTACAAAATACCTTAACCCAATCATGCTCATTTTAAACTCCAAACATTTGTGTCTAATCATTAAAAAAAAAAACAAATAAATTCTCTATAAAATATTAATAGCAATCACACTCTTGATTAAATGACTAAGATGATATGCATGGCTTAGACTACTCTTAACTCTACAAGTGTTTAGATGCCTATATTATGCTAATTCAGAGTAGCCAACTGGTTCAACCCAGAGTTAAATCAAGCCTGCAAGTTTTGGTATACAATAACAACTTCCAAGTAGACTTAATATTCTGTGCAGGAATGTTGAAGCACAAACAGTATAACTTTTCCTACGCTAGCAAAAGTTTCTGTCACAAAACAAAACAATCAAATATTTACAATATTCCCCAGTCTTCCCTTTTCCTACTCTCATCTTTATTAAAGTATGTCAGTCAATGTTATAATTAAAAACTAAGCACGTGAGTACTAAGAAAAGAACACATAAATTTACATCGATAAATGATGAAAAAAAAAAACCAAAAAGCCAAGTTCCAACTGTCAGTTTTCACATGCAACATACTGTTTTCTCTTCTATTGAATAAACCATCTCATTAAACTTGTAAAAGTTCTATTTTTTATTCACTTCTTACTTGTGATGAGAGTAGATTAAAGAACTCAGAAGATGCCGGGCTCCAACTTCGACACAGAAATTCCATTGCTTGATTTGGACTTTTAGGGACTTCAGAACCATGATTACCTCCAGGCTTCCTTCTACTCACCTTCCCATCTTTTACGGTATCTATTCTCCCATTCTGCATAAAATGTAGTGCAAAAACAAATCTTTTCATGCTCATCAGACAAATTAATGAGTTTCAAATGCACTTACAAAGACGGGGGGAGCCAAGGAATGATTGAACGTGAAAGAAACTCTGGCTGATTCCTCCATGGAATGCTTCCAGCAAAGTCCTGTAATTATAAACTAAGAAGCAGAATGGTTTTCCGAGCTTGCATTGAAGCAAAGCTGCAGCTTTTAAGGTGGAGGAGAGTGGGGATAATGGTATGTATATAATTATTTGCTACAGTAGTAACAATAAACAAAAAGGGGATTGGATGGGGAGCTCACTTACTGTAAAAGAGGCAACTTTGCCTCACTATATATCTTTGAAATATAAATCTGCCAGCTTGATCTTATCACTTTCTGCGTCTTCTATATATACGTACCAATAGAAGAAGACAAATCATGGTGGATTAATTTAAGTGATCGCAACATAAGACGTGTGCATTACAATCACCATAAGTGCTTGAAGAGCATTCAGAGAGAATCGTGGTTAGCTGTGGCCCACTAGTCAAATTATATAAAGATAATTTTAATTTTTAGCCTGATAAAACAATAATATATATATATATATATATATATATATAAAATGTATAAACTTTTTTTTAAGAAAAGCATGTGGAGAGGAAGTATGGTGTAATTTTATGGATTGAAAAGTGTTGGTTTGGTGATGCCAGAGTCAATGATTATTGGATGAACAGTTTGGACTGTGTACGCTCACAGTTCGTAGCACTGAGAGTTATCACGATTATTGACATTCCAATGTGCAGCAATTGGGATGCAGCAGTTGTTGATTCTGTGAAGATAAAGTTGCTTCCTAAAATAATTTCAATAATTTGGAAGGTCGATATTGCTCGGCTTGTTGGTTGGCGTTCATGGTATAAGACCGCTTATGTCATGGGTTCGAATCCCCTCTGCCATGAATAGCTTTAAGGAGGTGGTACTCGAATTGTTAGGCACATATAGCTGATAATTCATATAATAGCCTCTGACAATTCCTTTTAATATATATATATATATATATATATAAGGTTATTCAATCATTAGTAAAGGAAAATTATAATATGATATTTATAATTCCTCAAAATTAAAACCTCTTTTTCACTATTTAAAAAGGTGAATTCAAAACATAAGAACCCAATTTCATCTATTTTCAAAGTTCGTTTTGAACAAAGTTATCTCCAATGAGAAATAATATCTTATATTTTAGTCTATTTTAAGTACCTAGAGTGGGTTGAACGTATTAAAATTTAAATCCGATTCAAACCAAAATTTTGAACTGTTTAAATGATAATCTCGTTCGAACAAGGAACCTTTTATGTAAGATTTAGGTTCTTATTTTTTTAAGGAATAGAAGAGAGAGATTTATCATGTTGAATTCATTTTAACTTGTTTTATTTTTTTCTTTGATATCTTAATCAACTTTATGATTTCATGCTGAGATCTTAATAATATTTTCTTACTTCATACTTTAATATTGATACTTGGTTGTGAAATGTCAGTGACTATAGTATAGATATGTCAAGACATATCCACATTAATACAATATCTTGATTAATATTAGATTGGGTTCACTTGTGAAATGGATATATGGTAACAATCAAGTGATTATTTTAATTGTTAGAATAAAATAAGCAATTTTTTCAGCACGATAAGAAGTTGGTGATTGTACAAGAATTGGGAATCATTCACCCAGTCGACAATAAGTAGTGCCTACAACATGTTTAACAGAGCAATTACAATAATAATCTTTAAACTAGTAATGTATATGAAAATTTGGCAGGGGCATTCTGAACATTTCAGTGAATAAATGTAGACCTCTATCAGCAGTTCATGATTATCCCCCTTTTTCATTTAGCATTTTTTAAGGTTTTGGTGGCTTAATATTATTAAAATTGAGTAATCATGGGCTCATTTGATTCACCATGTTGAGATTCGTTTTGCTATAATTAAAATCAAAACTTCTACGATGAAGCGTTTAATTTATTTCAATTTGGATTTGGATAAAGTGATTCACAATCTTTTTGAGTTTTTTTCTAATTCATTCACACAGTTCTGTTTGGGATGGTCGTGCCTTTTTGAAAAGATGGCTGTAAAATTGTAGTGGAGAAATTAACTTCTTAGAAAGCTATGGTGAAAATTATAAATATATGTTTCCTTTAAAAAAAAAAAGACACTTTAATAAGTTAGGTTGAAAAAAATAGAATTGCACTAGAAAAATTGTCAGAAAACATTTTCCTAAACAGAATTTCGATGATAGTCTGAAAGGCAAAGCATACAGAAATCTGTCTCAAAGAAACAATCTAACTATAAATTCCTTATTCAAATATTAGTGTTTTGACTTTTGAATATTGCATCAAGAATATTGTTACAAATTCTTTTTAAATTTACATGAACTTGTTTGCTAAATACATTTTTATTACACATGTAACATCTAAACTTAGATTTTTATATTTAAACCATCTTAATTTTTCATAGCACATCCAAAGTACTTTTAAAAAGTGAGATACACCCTTCCATATATGACCATATGTGCATGCATGAGTGAAAATTGATGTTTAGATGCAGGATATATAAATACATAAGAATTGGATGGCATGCATGTAAATCTTCCCATATTTTTTTTTATGAAGAATTCATAACAGAAGCCTCACAACTCTCTTCAATCACAAAACCATCCTCCACTAACTGTTATTTATTTAATTTTGCTTCACAGTGATTAATTGCACCATGCCATTTTCTGAGGCCAGAAAAATGCCGACGCTGATGGTGGTGGGCTTCCAGCACTGGCATTCAACAGCTCAAAAAGTGGAGAAATTATTGCGCTGCATGCGGTGTCCGATACCGATCGTAGATCACAGTGATTTACGATCAGGATTATTTTCATTTTTTTTTTTTTAAAAAATTTTAGGTGGAGCCCACCGAAATACATCGGGACCGTGAATTAGGTGATTTACGGTCTGGATCGGACACAACACGTAAGCTGCCTGCGGTGTCCGATCCGTATGGAATAATTTTTCCAAAAAGTGAAAGCGAATAAGAATTAATAAATAAATATTCTGGAGAATATATTCATTTCTATATATAATTAAATTATTTTTGAAAAATATTTTCAAAAATAACTAAACATATTTGTATTTTAAATCAAAATATAAACAAAATGAAAATGAAATAAAATATAAATTAAAAACAACAAATAAAAAGGGTCCTCAAACAGCCCTTCAAGTTAATAGTTGAAACAAAATGGTTGGGACAAAAGAAATAAGTTAAATGAATGCCCTCAAACTTCATATTTTAGTACTTGGCCAAGCTATTTAATATATATATTTTTTTAATTATTAATAAAGAATATGGTTGAAGACCATTGAAGTAAGAAATATTCCCCCATATAACATGACTTGATTCAATATGAGAAAAACAAAAGGGTAAATAAAGATTAAATTTAAAATTTAAAGGTCTTCCAATGCTGACCAAAGCTTGGGATCTTCATAATCTTTAATGAGCAGAGAAGCTCCAGCATCCATCAGCGACTGCTCTGGGTTTCTTGTTGCCACACCAACTACAGCCAACCCAGCAGCCACGCCAGCTTTAATCCCTGCTACTGAATCCTTCAAAAGAGAAAGGCACAAATTTCAAGCTTAAATAAATAAATTTATATGCTGTGCAAATTAAGCTAAAATTTGTGATGAAAATGAAAATAACCAATAAGCAAACCTCGAAGACGACGGTGTGTTCAGGCGATGCGTCGAGGTCCTTGAGAGCTTTCAAATAAGGATCTGGGAATGGTTTGGGCCTCTCACACTCACTTCCAACCACCAGAACATGGAAGAAGTCATTGAGTCCAAGAGTTGAGATCATGAGTTCGGCATTGGGCCTGGGAGCATTAGTCACTGCTGCTCGTTTAAGCCCGCGATCCTTCGTCCATTTGCATAATTTATGGAGTCCGGTTACCGCCTTTAACTGCTGCGGAACAAGCCTGCATGTTCAAACTCATGTTATTTGATCAGAATCATGTTTGAATTTGGGAAGTTATAAGGAGAGTTGGAGGGAGGGGCACCTTCGAAACAAGGCTTCCTTGTCGTCTAAGAACTTTGCTGCCTTTTCGGCATCCCAATCTGGGAATAAGGTTCTCCCAATATCATCATTGTGCTTGCCACTAATTTTCTCAACAAAGAAATCCTCTGTAATGGGAACCCCATTATTGTAGCCTATCTGTTACAAGCAGTTTGATTGACATGGATTTTAGATGTGTGATACAGAAGAAAATATATAAATGAGAGGTGATTCAGAGATGAGACCACACCTCAAGAAGCAATTCACGGAAGGCGTGGCAATGGATAGGATCCGAATCGCATAGTGTACCATCTATATCAAACAGTATTGATTCAAGTGGAGCGAGCTCTGATAAAGATTTTCTGCAACGATTTTGTTGCTAAAATGTGAGTGACACGATGTAAAAAATTGGTTTTGTTAACGGTTTGGATCTATGACAAGTAAATTTTCAGCCTTAGTGCAATATTAGTAACAAAGAATGGATGGGCAATTGCCTCACTGTTCGATTTTAAAATTTTACTGACAATAAGATTAATCACTAATCGTTCATTTGGAATTTGTAACTATTCAAACCAAATTGTTTGCCATTTTTTTCTAGTCAATCCATGAACAGCAAGAAATCAATGTACAGTTTGCTTTTAAGCTATCACGGACTCCGAATTAAAACATAAATAGTACAAAGCAATTGGCAGTTTTCAGATTTAAAGCATCTTCAATCCAAAGTTTAACAGTTTTCTATCAGAAAAGCACTTTTAATTAAGTCAATCATGGCTTTGAGATTGATTTATTATAGGCTATACTTTGAAGTCACGATCCACTTGAAAATACTTTCTCTAAACTTATGGTTTTCACATAGCTTCTCATATTGAAAAATAATTTATAGTTTCTTATAGACTCAATAGAATGAACCAATACCAATGTTATGCAACCTTCATAACTGAAAATATAACACCATGTCTGGGTCAAAACCAACACAAATTTTGGCTTTTATTTTTCTATTTCCCAGTCTGAAGGGAGATAATACTTGCAAGTATTAGTCAGCTTATTTTCATACCTCTATGATTTATTGGCTTGCCCAACGAACAATGTTCATTGTATAAAAATATTATATGCCATTGCCAATGTAGCATAATGTAGCTCAACATATTTGCTCCTTTCCATGAGCCATTAAATTCTGGGTGAAAATATTTAAAGTTTTAAAGGAACCAAAGTTTCGAGCAACAGAAAAATTGTTCAAAAGTAGGCAAACCAGCATTGATGTTGTTGTCTAACACCAATGTACAAAATAAACTAGTAAGTACACGCCAAAAACAATTGCTTAACCTCCAGCCACATATTTACCGCTAGCAACTACACCAAGCTCATAGTTTGCTGTCATTTCCACAAAGTTAGGGAAACTCGCACGCTACAACAAACGCTTATCCCTCATTCAGAAACTGTTTAGCTCGGCTCTTACAACAAACACACATGACATTGTATCAGAATTCACTTAGAATCAGCTCCTTAGTGTTACGACCCGAACTGAAATCACATCCAACAAACCAGACTGGCCATATCTTCCGACATGAACCCCGGTTCTCGGTCTCGCAAATCTGCCCTAGTCTTCCACGATTTTCTCTTGCAATCAATGTGCAAATCCTGCTCTCCCTCAACCGCCACTTCATATGATTTAAAGGAAGGGAATCACTAAAAAAGACCCAAGCTTCCCTCCTCCCAAAAAAAACCAAGAGCAAAGAAACCTCCGCCTCACCTTTCTCTTCCTCGATGAACCTGCCATCCTTATCTTCTCCTTAAATAATGATTTCTCCTTTCAAATTTTTATCTTTTTCAATTGTAACTCAATCAAAGCTACTGTTTTTCTGTTTGTAATCATCCATTCCATTTGAAATCATCAAACATTGGAGAGCTCAAAGGTAAACTCATCTTTCTCTCTTTTGCTTTTTCTCCCAATTTTAAAATTGTAAGCTCCCAAGTTTGCTTATTGATTAATCCATGCCATCAGTTCTTTTTAATATTATATTTAAGTAGTCTTTAATCAATTTTAGGATAGATTAAATAATTGAGTTTAATATGCTAGGTTTTACCCCATGATAATAATAACTAATCAAGGTCAATAATGGGATAATCAATATTATCTAGATTGTATTTACTAATAATTATTTTACAATACCCATTTGTGTTTGAGTGACTGATTTTAGATTCTTAATGTACAAAAACCTCAAGTTGAGAACCATTCGGCATCATTGGTTGAATTTAACAAAAAAAATTCAGAGTTTTCTATTAGTCACTAAAAAGTAATTTGACTTTTATTTATTAAGATATAAATGCATCATTCTTAGTTTTGGAGTGTATCCTTGATATTTATCATAAGTGCCTTAAAAATTATAGGCTACTAGCCCACTTTTAATATTATGTTATTATTAAGATGCGCAGCTTGATTAAATAATTTTGAATATTGGCTGGTTGAGCCAACAAGCTTACAGTGTGATGACACTATTGAAAATCATTAAAATTTTATGAGTTTATGTTTACTATTTTGATTTCAAGATGCCTTGATAAACTGATTATAAATATAAACATTTATACAATCGAAATGTGAAAACTGATAAGTCGTCCATGAGCATGTATGTGTGAAACTAACTTGGATGGATATGAAAATATTAGAATAGAAATTATCATGTAAATAATCATGATCACTATAATACCAAAAAATCATAATAGAATGTGGCATTTTCATGTATGCAAAGCAAATATCAAAACAAAACGGTTAACTTAATCACTCTTATTATACTATTATTACATAGTAAATTGTGTTTCTTTTATTATTAATAAAATTGCTTTCCATGGTAACTTGTCATTTGTATTTTAATAGAAATGAGTTACTTGCTGAGTTTGAGTTATCAAATTCACCTGTTATAATATTTTTCTCATAATAAGTTCTACTATGGTGCTTAGTAGACAATCTTCACTAGAGCAAACTTTTCAATAGTAATATTTCATTCGATATTTTGAGTTTATATTGTACTTTTATTAAATTTGGATAGTTCTGTTTGTGTAATTGTTCACTTTCTTTTTCAATAGTCAGTGTTGTTATTTCTCTGTTTCACCAATACCATAAACTCTATTAATATGATACAATATTATTTATTTCCCTTTGCTTATTCTTATTATTTGCAAGTGCTTGTATAATACTTTTAATTTGTAAGTACAAAACATGTTTAACTAAATCCTTGAAGCACACCGCACCAAATAAATTCATGGCTGAAAACTTCTTTGAATAAGGCATACTACAAATATAAAAGTTCAAGTTATAACATATTAAAAGACCTCAAATGCATTAATTAAGATTACCTCCTTCATGGAAGTCCTATTCTTAATAAATGAGAAAAAGAAGGACAGATATTAATGCCAGCACAAACTTGAAATAAACATTTTCAAAATGGATTCCCTTGCTGTAAACATGGGAATATTTAAGCCAAAGGAAAAAAATAGCAGCAGCTTATTATTGTAACTATAATTTTCAGTACATGCATTCAAATAAGGGTACACATATAATGAAAATATTACATAAGAACCTCATTTAGTCTTCATTAATAATAAGTACTTACATGTTGGTGCGAAATAAAAAATAAACAACACTGCTAAACTTTAAGGCATCAATATGGAAAGTGCTACACATTCAAAACAAATTATAAGATATACAACAAAGCAATAAAGGGACAAAACATTCTTCAAAGTATGGCATCAAATGCAAATTCCTCCATCTAAGTTACACGGAAGAGAAAAAAAAAAGTAATTCATGCATGCAACTGGTGAAACATCCGATCAATAAAACATTATTTGTCACAATTTCAATTGGGAGAACGAGGCCCGTATCACATAAATCAATCTCTGCTTCTGACCGACTAATCATATTATACATGCTATCGAATACCATCAAAAACCTAAACCGATCCCGACCTTCCCATACCTTTGCACGCCCTTCTACCTTCTTCCATCGCATTGACGCAGCGATAAATTAAAAGGCCAAGGCAATCAAAAACAAAAAGCGCTAGAAAAGCAAAAACATCCCCCATAAAAAAAATTATCCATCCGCATCGATCCATTTCAGAGACATCGAGTGAATTGAATCGGTAGGGAAGAAGAGTTACCTCTCCGATGCGTAGCCGTTACTTAAGACCGACATCGTCCCGTGCTAATCTCTTCCTATGGATAAAAAAACCTGAGCAGGAAAGAAGATCTATGACGACGACGAAGATGGAAGAAGCCCTATTTGTAGACTCATGAAAGAGCCTCGTGGAAATGCAACGCAACCCGCCATGTCTCGTGACCAGAAATTGACGGACGGTGAGGGAAGAGCCAAAACGAAAGAACGCAGGTCAAAAACGGAACAGAATCTGGTTCCTTCTTCTCTTTCGGCTGCCACGTAACCCACCACCCATTTTTGTTTTATGCGCATACGAGATTTATGGATTCACATATTCCTAACACCCTTCAATCTTACACGTGCATTAAAAATTAATCTGAAGTTTTAAAAGATATAAATATATAAGGCAAAGTTTAGATGCTAAATATATAAATTGGTATGAGAATATACGAGTTATTCTGATATATAAAAATAAAATATGAAAACGATCAACAAAATAAAAAAATTCACACCAAAAAATAGTACAACGGAACACAGATTTACGTGATTCAGCAAATTGCCTACGTCTACGAAATTGCAGAAAATTTTACTAGTTGACGAATTTACACCAATTAATCGTCTTGACTTACAAGAGAAATCTCTCACTTCGTTGCTCTCTCTTCTTCTCTCTACACCGGAATACACGAAGAAACTCTATACCAAAATGTACCGAAAAATACAAACTTACAAGAGAAATAAATCCAATTTTTTTCTGACACAAATAACCAAAAAGAAGCCAAGAGAGAACAATATTCTTCTTTCTTCTTTCTTATGTCGTAAGAAACTACTTGTACTTTCCTTCCACTTTCTCCCATGGAAGTCCTTCCACTGTCTCTTGAAAAATCCGAAGAACAAAAAAATCATGACTTTGTAAACTGAACGAGAGTCGCTGCGATGCCTTTTATCACAAAGAAAGCGGTTAACGCCTACAACTTACGACACAACAAAGGATAGCAATGTTTCGCGATTGGAAGGCAAACTGATGCTTCGCTTCGAGAAACAAAAACAATTCGCGAAATTGTAAGGTCACAATCACAACCTTTCATGATTGGGAACAAGGAGTGGGAATCGGGTCGGGCTCCAACTTAACATAAATGCCCCAAGTTAAAAAAATATTTACACGAAAACTCCTTTAGTATTATAAAGAAAACTGAGCATATGGTGCGTATGTAGGGTAACGTTCCTTTATAAAATAGATGTAGCTTGGAGTATATAGCTCATTTGAAAAAATAGTTCAAAATCAATTTAGAACAGCCGTATATGTAAACTTAATATTAAAGATTATTATATATAAAAAAAAAACACAATTGAATTAAACCATACAAATGAACAAAACTATATCTGCCCAAAATTTTATTGCTACCCAAACTCTATTATAAACTGCAAATAAAGAGAATTATAATTCAGCTATTTTCAAACCATGTTGAGAAATATAAAAGACTATATTTACCCATTCACCATATATAGATTAACTTTCAATATAGTTTGCTTAATTTCTTCAAGATGATAAAGAAAAATAGTGGCTCAATATTGGCTTCCGTGCCGCTACAAACCGTCCAATAGAAATTATATACAAAAAGCACTTGCATTGCATTGCCCAAATACAGCTGCCACTTGCATCACAAATGAATAAACAAAGAAAATAAAACAAGACGTCTAATTAAATGAGAAACTATACAGAAATTTCCTCAAGAGGCCATTAAGCTGGGCCCAAATCCTTATTGGAAATATTCAGCATGCCACCAAGCTCGTTCACTTTATCTATCAGAAGCTTCAATAGTGGAACCTTAGAAAGGGTCCCACATGAGCCCACCATTATCAGCTTCTTCTGCGCCCATGAGTAACAAAATTTAACAGCCATTAGCCTCATACGCAGCGATGTATACGTAAGGTAGGTTACAGAGAGGGTATTGGGGGTTATATCCGCGTTGTACCCCCTACAACCTACCTATTACCTACCAGTAACTTACAAATATATGAAAACAGAAGCGCGGAACTTGCCGGTTCCAGTTAGGTTACAGGGAGGTTACAAGAGGTATAATGTAGATATGACCCTTAATACCCTCTTTGTAAGCTACCTGACTCGAGGTCAGGTATACATAACCAAATTGAAGGACAAGAATAACGGCTCAAATTCAAATTGGTTCAGGTATTAGAAATGTTCTAAGCACTGATTGAATTGGAGTATAATACCTTCGCGCGGGTGAGGGCAACATTGATTCTGCGCCAATCTCCAAGTAACGAGGTAGAACATGATTTAGAGTTTTCAACGGATCTAACAAAGGAAATAATTAAACAATCCTTGTCCCGTCCCTGAAAAGAAAGCGAAGATCTCTTGTTACAAAATAATCTCTTGCAATAGCATTTCGACATGGACAATCAGACCATTATGGCGTGAATAGCAAGTTTAAGGAGCTGATTAGAGCGGCCACTAAATGAGATTTGGAAACCATCCAATTCTGGCTTTCAAATGCAGACAAATAAAGGCTTCTACATGCTTCAAATCGCGCAAAACTATGCATTTCTTAAAGATAGAAGTTGGAATGCAATGCAATGCTAGTGTTAATCCTCCTAAAAATATTTATAAAGAGAATTTATAAAGAGAAAATTGAAGGAAGCATTAAATAACACAATAAGATTTCGTAAAAATAAGTGAATAAATATCTATTTGAGGTAGGACTTTTTTTTTTTTTAACTGTTTTGCTTTCCAGATTGCTGGCACACTTTATTTGGCTACAATTTGCAAACTATTCATTAAAAATTTATTGTGGGAAGCTATGTTTTGCAATCAGGTATGTTAAATTAATGGTACATAAGCATACCAAGCACTTGCAAAAAAACTTATTAACTCAATGAAATTTTAATTATATTCCCCGTTAACTTTGTTTTAGTATTGATCACCTGCAGAAAAATAATGTTAATCTTATAAATATCATGATAAAATTCGGTCTATGAAAATGAAAACCATCTCAAGTGTCCATCCATAATGACAAAAACACATATTCAAACTCATTCAATCAAAACATTCAATCACAATAGAGAAAACACACAATTTCTCATCAACATTAACCTAAACTAGATTAGTGGACTATCAAACTGCCTATAAGTGAGGATTGTGAGGGAGGCTTTTTAGTATTCATGTTTTGGTTATAACTAGAGTTTAAAATTTAATTTATTATTGTTTGATGGTTCAAATTTAAGTTATTTAAATGTTGTGCATATATTTTTTATTTTGATTTTAATCTAGGTTTCCCTTCAAAGTTATAGTGTTGTGAAAAGTGGGATCCGCCTAACCAGATGTCTCACAACTCACAGCTCCCTAGCCCTACAACAAGATAGAGCACCTCTGTCGACGGAGTGAGACACCACCCTAAAGAGGTGAATTTGATTTAAATTTTAAATTGATTAAAATTGATTGGGTTGTATTTTACATTTTTGATTTCGTTTAATTTAGTTTGACTTATGTTTTGGTTTAAATTAAGTTTAATTAAGTCCTAAATAAGTTAACTAAGATTTAATTAATTAACTTGATTTGGTTTAATTAAATTTTAATGTTTAGATTTCATTAATTAACTTGCCTTAATTCAATCTAAGTTTAAATTATCTTCAAGTTTATGTTTGATGCGCGCTAGAAGATCCGCGGCCAAGAGTATGAATCATCGTCTTAGCGTTACACGAGAAGTCAGCACACATTCAGATGAAAGAAAATAATTGATAAAAACATCAGAAATTTTAAGTGGAAATCCGGGAAAGAAAAACCACGAGTCCTGACCCAGCTGAAGAATTTTACTATAAAAATATGTTGATTGAAGAGTATCAATTCCTATTTTTAAGAATAAAGAGGATGCATAAATGTATACAAATTACAGAAGAACTAAGTTAATGCATCATACATTAAAATTATGGGAGAGCGCACACACACAGAGGTTAAGATGTGATACAAAGTTTTCTCAAAATCAGTTTGGATTTATGTCGAGCAAGTCTTTTATGATTATATATATTTACACGTATAGATATATACACACGCCTTAATAATTGCATTTGCAAAATAATTACTAGGCAATCTAAATAAAAATTAATCATTAATAAGCAAATAGGTAAACATATCCATATACATGCATCATATTATTGTTTTTCCTTCCCCTCAATTCTTCACCAATTGTTAGATTTTCACTCTTAAGAGGTGAATACACTTTTCATAATCAACTTCACCTTAATATTTTCCATGCATGCATCATTTAAAATTTCCATAATTTTTTTCACAACCTACACCACATATTCAAAGTTATAATGAATATTAAAAGATAAAATAATCAAAATTCCACGATCAGTCAAATATAACTAGTCTACTCGTTCATCCTTTTTATTAACTCGCTTAAATTGACATTAAATCAAATTTCAAATAACATAAATCTAAAGTTTTATAATAATAAAATGTTTTCGTTACTTAGAAGCATATGTCTACCCACGCCAATCGATACTCAGGATCGAGCTACAGGTCCCGATGTAACAGACTACAATTTACATGCATGTGATAGCATAAAATGTGATAGCAAGCAACCCTTAACAGTCAGGTCATAAGTCCAGGAGAATCGGGGTAGTTTCACTATTCGATGGGAGTGAAATCCATAAACTTCACCATTTTAGATTAGGCTCAAGTCTCTACATCCCTGTAGAACTCATATTAGTTTAGGGCCTAAACTGGACTCTGTCTGTCTTGCCACATAACTGTTTTTTCATTAGCTTATCGATAGCTCGTTGCATCAAATATAAGTTCAAACCATCAAAAAATTGCACAATTCAAACAAAAATTTTATTCCAATCTTTAAAATGTAAAGTGCAATCTTATAATAGACCGAAATAACTACTAAGGGTGTCTTTGGGGGAAAGGTACGGTCACATTGCAGTTTTTTCGGTTTGATAAAATTGTGTTTTGTCTACATTTTCAAAAAGTTGCAGTTGAAACTGTGTTTGTCACCGAAACCTAGCTACCTACAGCGACCGTTAGAAAGCTGTGATTTGACTTAAAAAAAAAAATTATAATAACCACCATAATTTTTTTTAATAGCAACTTTCCAATTACTTCTTCAAACAACCAACTGCCCCAAACTAACCCTAAACCTTCCAGTATCAAGTGATGTCTGCTCCGCATCCATTGGTTTTCCGCATAAATTATTTCAGTTTAAGCATCATATTTGAAATTCAAATAATAATACCTAAAATTAAACATTGAAATCTATATAAATGATATTCATTGTTTAAATCGAGAATTTTCTTAAAAAATACATTTTCCTAAAATATAACTAACTAGGGAGGTTTTCATATCAGTGGATACCAACAACCACAAGTAAAATAAACTATCTTTTTAGGAATAGAAAAAAAAACAACTGGTACACAACCCCATAAAGATGTTAATCATCACTTCAAGATTGAATCCAACATATAGTAATATTTTCAACCCTTAGGATAATATATTATTTATTGATATTGTATTTGATAACAAGCAAGAAATGTCAAAACTATTGTATGTGGTCCCCCATATTGGAGAATATTTTCTACCAAATTATTATTAAAATAGGACCTTGAAATATAGGTACTCTTAAAGGCAAAATAATTGAATTAATAGACATTATGGTTCAGAAGAATATAAATATCTTATACATTAAAAAACTAAGGGAGTTAGAAAAGGCAAAGAAGATTAATAACATGTATTTTAAACTTTGATATTCAAGTAGAAGTTGTACTAGAAATAATGTGAGTGTAACCATAAATAATAATTTATAGACATTAATCGACATTAATAGACATCATATTTTTTCCGCTTGATGTTGCTTTTCTTCCTTCGAATATAGATGACACTTGACATCATTCTTCCTTCATCAGCATGCCAGGTCTTCGTCTAGAGCGGTAAACTTCACACAACAACAACAACAACAACAACAAAGCCTTAATCCCACTATGTGGGGTCGGCTACATGAATCCTTTTTCTCCATTGCGTCCTATTTAGTATCATATTTTCATTTAGTTCTAGTAAATTAAGATCATTTTTAATACAATAAGCCCAAGTCTTCCTAGGTCTACCTCTGCCTTTCTTAACACAAGTCGAATCTAAAACATCTACTCTCCTAATCGGATCATCTAATGGTCGACGTTTAATATGACCAAACCATCTAAGACGACTTTCTCTAATTTTGTCTGTCACAGGAGCTACACCAACCCTATCACGAATATATTCATTCCGCATTTTGTCTCTAAGTGTAAAGCCACTCATCCACCTAATCATTCTCATCCCGGCAACACTTAACTTATTATTATGCTTCTCTTTTAAAGGCCAACATTCAACGCCATAGAGCATTGCAGGTCTCACCACCATCTTATAAAATTTTCCTTTCAGTCTAAGCACGCAACCCTCCACTTTTCTCATCCGGGCTTGGGACCGGCAACGGCAGTGTTAGCGGTAAACTTCACACGACAAAGAAAATTTGCATTGACCTTCCTCCTTCGGCTTCTTCGTGTGTGAGATTGTCCAAACAATAGCGATGCCTACTTCCGGACAAAATCGTGTTCCTCCTTTCCTCATTCACGCCAGTTGCTGATTCAAATCCTCTCCCATTGCAATTCGGCTTGGCTCAGTTATCCCACACATAGTCATTACTTCTCATTCACACCAAAGCTGCCACCCGCTCGACGTTACTATTCTTCGCCTAACCTCGATAAAAAGGTTTGAAATCCTCAAATGCTTTTTCTCCCTCCCAATCTTGCCTCCATCTGCAATGATTTATAGGGCGAACTCGCCCCTCGAGTTCTTGAACTCTCGTTGCCCTCAAGGAGATGAAACGGGATGTCACAAGGATTCAAATAGAAATGTGAAAATGTGAAAATGTTTAAAAGATGTGAGAATTTCTTGACTACAATTTTTTTAAATATTATTTAAAAACTTAAAACATGTCCTATTGGTTCCTATTTTTAAGAATAAAAATGATGCATAAAAGTATACAAATTACAAAAAAACTAAGTTAACGTGTCATACATTAAAATTGTGGAAGAGTGATTGAACATATGTTACCACGCGGTAATGAAATTTCTGAAAATCAGTTTGAATTCATGTTGGGCAAGTCTACTACGGAACTATAAATTTATTGAGAGAGTAAGAGAGATCTGCATATGATTTTTTTATTGATTCAGAAAAAAACTTATGGTAAGGTTCCAAGAGAAGTACTTGGAGAGTTTTAGAAAATAAAGGTGTTTGTATAACTTTTATTCACGTCATTAAAAATAAATATATTAGAATCATTACTTGTATTTAGAAACAAGGAGGAATCAGAGAAATGTTTAAAAATAGAAACTTTTTTTTATGGAAAAGCTTGATGCAAGCAAAACTCTTATTAAAGGAACCAAAAAAAGGCTTACAAAAACATAGAAAGTCATAAATTTAAAATTTAGAAAATCAACCTGATACTTATCAATAGTATGGATCTCCACACAGGCGCTGGTCGCACACTGAATGTGACTGGCTTGAGAGTTGTAAGGAGTTATGATACCAATTTCATCCTCTGAAATTTCTCTTTCAAGTAAACCCAAAGTTATCTAACAATAACGTAAAAACAGCAATCAATTTACTTGGTCCAAAGAATTTGTTTGCTCATTAAGAAAATAAAAGATACGGAAAGAAATGATAGAATAAACTCCTCACTGTTGCATAAATTGATAAAATTTCAGAAATTTTAGTATTTATATAGAAAATAAATTATTGCCACCGCACATCAATGAACTTTGAAGAATATTGTAGCCAAGTTTTCAATTTTTTTAGCTGCTATTCTCATAAACGACATTGCTTAGCAAAAATTTAGACTAGTTACGTGAAGTAAAGAAAGATTATGTGGGCCCTAATTTACATTTTTCCACTCCAATGGTGCTGACATTGTTGAAAATAGATAAGGAACACAGCGATTGTTCTTGATTAAATTTAAACCTTATGGAATAGAACTTATATTATATTTGCTTATGTTAAAGAATTATTCTCCAATGACAGCACATTATTCAAATTAATTATAGATTCAAAGTTCAATAGCATTTTAACTTGTACCTGAAAAGTAACAACATAAATTATCACGATACATTTTTAATGATAGAAACATCAGATTTAAAAGAGCTTTTAATTATGGCATGAATCCTACATAAATGAAGTCCACCATGCTGACAGTTTAAATACTAATCTAGTCTCTAGTTATACGTAGAGCATATATTCTTAGTCAAGTAACGATGCACTAATGATGCCATAGAGTGCACATCTACTACCCTTAGAAAAATACAAGAAAGGCATTATAAGAATATTGAAGCATGGATGTAATATATAATTTTTTTTATAAAAATCAAAATGAAAAATACAGATTATTTGATAAAAAATCAATTTATTTTACTCAAAACTCATTTTTTATATTCCAAAATTAAATAACTAAAGCGATAAAATCCAATAAATATTGAAATATAATACATACAATGCGTCATTTGACGATTTATCAGTTACTTTTAGAATATATGGAAAATCTAAATTCTTTTTTAAATATTTCATATTTTTACTATTTAAATATTTCATATTTTTACTATTGCAGTACAAAACAAAATTTTACCTAGTCCTACCTCTGATATAATAAGAGTTTCAACGGGATTATGCACATTGTTTTCCTCCCTTACCTCAGGCGCAGGCAGCATGTCTGAAATAGAAAAATTAAAAGAATTATCACAACATACTAACGGTATTGCAAACTGATAAACACGGAAGCCCACAAACCTGTGTTGATAAAAACAACAGATTTATTTGGGTCTAAAACCTGCAGTTGACAAAAATAGATGCTTGAAAATTACACCAATAGTTTAGATGAGAAAAGATTCGTCAAGTGAGAAAAAAAAAGCAAAAAAAATATATGCTCAAAAAATGGATTCATATAATGCTTTCCTTAAATTGATGATTCCTTAATGCTAGTTTAGATGCTCATAATTTAAGTGAAAGAAAATGTAAAAATGGGTGAAACTGAGAGAAAACCTAAAACTTCTGACAGTAAACAGAAAACATCAGGCAGAAATCAAAAAGTACTTGCAGAACATTAATTAATCTTGATTGTTTGCTACTTTTGTCACCATTTTGTTTTAGGCCTATCATTTCAATTTTCCAATCATAAACTTGACGCACTAAATTTCCCAGAATAGCTCACAACGAACATTTTGATCTGTCAAATCTATCGTGGATTCATGATCTCAAAGTTTAGAAGATGGTACATTCACTTAATGATTAAATACATTCTCAGCAAGGCACCATCATTGGCCCATGATTGATCACCAATAACACCCCCAGTCAGAGCAGTGCAGTTGGAATAAACGAAAGGGTCGGCTAGTTCAATTAATTTTTAGATCAAAAATAGACGCAACATGGTTGCTCATTGTTAATAGGAAAAATATACATTTTCTTTTTTTCGGGTAAAATCCTAAAGACCAAAACCTCACAATCATATTCTATAATTAGAACCTGACTTGTTCACTTGAGACATCATGAAAATTTTGTCCAAATCTCCAAGCGCTTTTTGAAGTCCTCTTGACTGCCTCCTGTATTCTCAAATCCAAACTTTATACATCTCAAAAAAAAAGGGGGATCACAGTTTAACCACCCGCAATACCTAAATAACTCCCTCATGTTGCCTCATCAGGTGAGATTGATCTGACTAAAAAATTTCAGTCTCAGGTTGCCCAATTAAACTTTAGGTTGACTTCAAGTCTGAAATTTTAAAGCCAGTTAAATTTTGAGATGGTTCTAGATGTCCCTAAAATCGAATATGACCCAAATTGAAATGCGAACATTTGTCTCAAACACTACGGATATGGTGAGAAGAAATATATTTTACATCCCAAATGGGAATGATTGTTTTTGGTACAGAAGTTCCTATCAATTCATTATTCAAGTTAAAATAAATGAGGCATTCAATCCCAAAAAAAAATCCTAAATGGATCAAGCTCAAGTTAGAAGGGTACATGTTAACCATTTTAAACCACAAAATAGATAGGTCAATTTTGAGTCAAGCACATCTAAATCAGGTCAACATCGACTCAAACTCAAGCCCTACTTATCAACATTAATTGACACCTCTACCTGCCAGAGGAGGATCAACACCACATCCTTGGTTACCTTGATAACCTTTCTGCCTTACCTCATATATCAACCCAAAGTTATATTGTTTCCAACTCCAAAAACGAATTGACCTCAATTACTCCACAAAATTCTTGCATAAACTCCCCTGCACAATCAGGACATGTCACCTCCAAAAAAACCAAAAACCAAAAACCAAAAAATAATAATAATAATAAAAACACATCCCAACAAATCTCAATCACCTCCTCAACCATCATGATTCCACGCTTGCCACCTTCACACCATGATACTATTGATTTCCAACATCACCTTCAAAAACTTCTCATATCACCTTTCCCACAACATAAAAACCATGCTCTTTATCTCTAGGAGGATCATTCTGACTATCCCTAATCACCAAGACAACCTTTCTACATTGCCTCCTCAGTTACCTCCACATCCAGTAAAATTGTCTTGGACTTGCGACTATTGTTACCCAACATCATACTATGATGATACCTTCTTCACAACTCAAAAATGAATAGTCTTAACTGTCCTCAAGCACCGCAATAGCCTTTTACATCTTCAAAAATAAAGATCATGATGTATAAAAAATGATCTTAATTTACTAGAATTAAATGAAAACATGACACTAAATAGGATACAATGGAGAAAGAGGATTCATGTAGCCGATCCCATGTAGTGGGATTAAGGCTTTGTTGTTGTTGTAAAAATTAACATTATTCCCTCACCTTTGATTAAGACTTTGGCAGTAATGTATTTAAAGAGGATGTAAGAGTGTAGGATGTAAGTATTAGGCTACTGGCGAGGATGTATGTACTATTCACCGGGACATAACCCAATGACCTAGAGAGAGTGTAGGATGTATGTATTATTCACCGACACTAAGCTAGCGAGGCTCCTTGCCTTCTTAGGCTGCTGGCGGTCCCAACTCAACAGTGTAATCGACTCGTAGACGATCTATTTTGCAATATATACAAATATAATGACGCAATAGATATTTCCCTTACAAGAAAAAATGTTTTCCATTGCTAAACAAAAGAAAACTATTTTTCTCCTATAAGCATGACAAACCACAAACTTTAAATGATACAATCTGATCGACCATTTGTCATTTATTTATACTGAGCTATGAATTGCCCTCCAAAGATTGTCTTATTGGAAATTTCTAGCTGAATGTCGGGCTTTATATACGTGGATGACCGACGGTTGCTTTCGGAGTATTTCGGGAATAATTAAGTTGAGTCAACCTCGACCTGAATGCTTATAATTTTTCTTGATTTTTTGTATGTTTCCTACGTTTTTTTGGAGTTTTCGTGGGTCACTTAAAATTTTATTTGGGTTTTTTTGTGTGTTTCTACCGGTTTTCTTCGAGTATTTTGTGAGTCACTCGCGGTTTTATTCGAGTTTTTGCAAGCATTTGCGATTTCGGCAAGTTTTCCATGAGATTTTGTCACTTGTTTTTTATACATAAATGCATGTTTCTCTTGCCTGCTTAATTCTCTATCATACTCGTTTGCTCCAATATACAATACTAACTTTTGCAGTTGCAACAGATCCACCAAATACACAGGTTTATTTACTTACTGAATTTTTACCGCATTTACTGCGCATTTTACTGTTTTTTTACTGCTCTTTCCACTGCTTTCTTGTACTGCACTTTCTTATAGCATATTTTGTTTATGCATACTTTAAATTAATTGTATGACCTTCGTGGGTAGCATGACAAAGATGTAGCGGACGTAGAATGATAATAAACAACAGGAAAACAAGTCAACATCAGCTAAACCTTTCCTTAGTTTAAATAACAAGTCATAGGACTTCGATGTGATTTGTCTAGGCCAACATAAATCCTCACATCATCTTTTAGGCCCCTGTACCATCAAGTTGTGCATCATAAGTCATAGCTCCTTTTAAGATTCAGAGGTTGTCGTTCGATACGAAGTAAATACTCCTATCTTCCCAGGCTATTTGCACGTTTGGGTATCTTGCGAATGTAAGCCCTAAATAAAAAAATTGACATAATTAAACATCAAATAACTTCGCCTATAAGACATAAAGCCAAACAAGAAGATGGTTGGGAAGTAATTGAGGCCTCACTTGAAATCTGTGATATCCCCTACCTTCTCACTTCTTTGACTCCTAAAATAATTGTTACTACTTGCGCCATTCCTTTTTAACTTTCTTATATCCAATCTTGAAAACCTAAACTTTGAAATCTTAAAACAGAACCACTGATCTTAATCGAGAGTTTTCTTAAGTGAACCGGTCATCTAAGATGTAATTAACTATAAGGACTTGTTGTTATAGGGAACTAAGAACCCAGATAAAATAAACTCTATCTAAAAATTATATTGGGTAGGGAAATTTTTCGGCCAACATAAATGATTCGCAGACCAGACAGATGTTATAAATTTCATGATTTATATAATCGAGTCTTTTCGCTAGGTAACATGTCCATCTTTTGGGATGAATGTGTTGCTTGAAGAGGGGTGTTTGATTATCTAAACTATTAAATATATGGGATATGTTTAGGCTCATATTTCAAAAATTAAAATACTACTTTCTAAATCAAATTACATATATTTATATTAAATCAAATTTAAATCATTTTCAAAATAGCAGCCGACAGTTTTAGGTTTGTTTCACATCCTCCTTGCATTTCATGGTCAATTTTTTTACATGATAGCTAAGTTAGCATACCAACACTAGCATGATCAAGACAATATTTGAATTCATAAACATATGCAATGAAAAATTCACAATGATATCACGTGTTATAAATAATCATAGCCATATATTCTGCAAAAGTGTGTCTGCAGAATGATTCAATACTTTAGAGTCATAACCATATATTCTGGAAAGTGTGTCTGCAGAATGGGTTAAAACTTTAGACAAAAAAGCACAAGAAAACTAGATAGCGCTGAAAAGCAAAAAAATGATCACCTCTTTTAGCCACCATTTTATAGGTTCCACAAGGCTTAACTTCATTTTTGCATTTGCAACATCCAAAGAACCACATCGCAGTCTGTTCCCATAAATAAGTGTATTTGATAGTTCCATGATACCAGCACACATCCGATACTGACAGATCAAAGATGATGGCTTGCAAATTAAATTTGTGCAACGGAAAAACATATTTCAATTATTGCAAACAAATATACAAAATTAGAGGAACCTGGCTTTGCAAGGCTGATATAGCCTGAGGATGAGCTTCAGAAAGCCTGCAGAATAAGCTTACGGCCATTCCATTCTCCCGAGCCTCTGTGCTCTAGGAATTTGAAGTAATTTTGTACAATTAAAAAAATGCAATTAAAGAAGGAGTAGCGCACAAACAAGAATAACCTGAACAAGCGGTGGTAACTGATAATGATCTCCAACAAGCACAAATGTAGAAGCTAGCATCAGTGGCCCAAGAGAAACCTGAGATTAGATTAAAGAGATGGTGAGCTCAATGCAACTATTTCTTTAATCAATTTTAACTAAATTATGAAAATATTCTAAAGAGCAGAACTCTGATGCTTAAATTGAAAGAAAGAAGAACCAATCACGTCCATGTACCCAAGTTAAAATTACCATAAAAAACACATTAGCAGATGCAGTTAAACCATAATAAAAAGAAAGCACGTACTGGCAGTGTAATTTGTCCGGCTTCATCCATTATGCAAACATCAAATTTTTTGTTTACAAGTAAGGGATGTTTTATGCCCAAACATGTTACTCCAACAACACGGATTTGGTCCATCCTCAGCTTAACATCATCAACAGAGTGAATATCTGCTGCCACCACCAGGTAAAGATCACATAAATGTAACATTTAATCCTCCAACATTAAAACAAAGAAATGTGACCTGTAAAGCAATAATGACGGATGTCTTCATGAACAGCTTCCTGCCTTCCAAGGCGAATAAAATCGATGCCCTGAAATAGAAGAAAATAGTTACTACCATAGGAAATTTACAATAACATCTGACTAGCACATCAGGGGATGCCCCACAAACCATGAAAATTCTATTGGGAATTAATCAAACCAAGATGTTAACACAAACTTCAACGTTTAAAGCAACTCTGAAAAAAATTTACTACCCATCACATGAAATGCTAGTGATTTAACAAAGGTAGTTTGTATTGTTCAAAGCAAACAAAGCCTAAATACATGATTTACATTGAAAAACACAAAATTACTTGGGCAATAATTTATAAGTGATTTTCCGCCAGTATATGAAGATGGTTACAATAAATATTTACAGAGGTCCAATTTGGTGAATGTTCTGGCAATCGCCATTCTGGTCTCAAGTTTACGAGTTTGAATCAAAAAATAAAATAAAATTAAAATTAAAATTTTAAAAAATAATCTCTTTAAAATGAAAGATTAATGCTGCGCAAAACCCTCCCCACATGAAATTGTACGGAGCCCCACAAACTGAATGTCATGCAGCTTTTTTTTCCAATAAATATTTTATTACCTCCTCTCTAAGCTAAGCTTAGGTTGTGAACTCATGTTGATCTATGCCTTGCAATGCTTTTCTCTGTGAAGAGCATGCATATAGCATTACGCAAGAAGGAAAAGTAAAAAGATACCAAAAAACAGGCCCTCAAGCATGAGGAAAGTGGCCCTATCATTCCAGGGATAACGATAAGCTGCAAAGATTCCAGCCCCATAGTAAAAAAAAAAAAACAATGGGTAAGAGCACTTTGTGCACAAAAGTGGACAGCTCTATTAAACTTCGGAGGAACAAAATTAAAAATAAGTTGCTTAAAATCTGTAAGAAAAGCAAGCTCCAAGTCCATGTTTGGAAGGTTCTTCCAGCTGGTTCTGCAGGCTTCATGTGAAGAAATTAATGACATTAGACTTATATTCCCTTCAATAATAAGGCCAGGGCCTTCATATAATAAAGGTTGAATGAAATATCGTAACAAAAAAACAGCTTCCAACTCCGTGAGGGAGGCATCCCAATGCAGAGTATGGTGCCCAGCCGCCACCAACAATGTTCCAACTTTGTAATCCCGAACCCAGCCAAGTCGTTCAGAAGAAGGGCACCGTCAATATTTGCTTGCGGGGGGTAGAGACAGATCGGAAGGCCAAATGGTGCAGAATTGCTCCCGAATAGGATAGGGAAAGGAATGAGTAATAGCTGTCGAGACCGACACAGCCATGGCGGTTGAGGTCCCATGAGACGATTGTGTTTATTCGCATTCTAGCTTTCAGGCTTTGATAAATAACACCACAGTAGATTTACCCAGCATTACTTGGGACTCAGCAAATCAAAAAATTTGAGAATTTCCTCCAAAGAATTGAGTTCTGTTAGGTGAACCTCCCATCTTCCCAGGATCCGCAACATGGATCTAACTACTTTGCATTTGGCACTAACAAGGACCCCTGTCCCCAATCTCCTCGCAGCCCCAAGGACATTCAGTTTCAATGCTTAAGCCCCTAACATTCAGTTTCAAAGCCTCCCTTCCTAAACTGGTCCAGTCTTCCCAACTGCGTCGGCCCCAATTTAGTAGCCCTACATCAATCTCTTGGTGTTGGGGGAGCATTGACCTCTCGTCACAACTTCTAGTTGTCTGTTGACGGTAGCGGGGTTGATGTAAGCTCCTGAGGCTGATGGATCTTCTACTGTGCTCCGAGAAGCGCTTGGATCACAATGGCAACGACATTGTCCCCCAAACATCTAAGGGTGTTTCCATATTTGCAAACATATATCCAAATCGATCCACTACTGAACTGACATGAGTCTGTGTGTTGTGCATATACTGTTGAATGTTACTTATGTTCCCAAAGTAATCTTAAGTTGGCTCAACCTGATTTGGAATCAAGGTAACCTGAGCCTTCACAGATGGTGATGGCCATGGAAAAAAGGTATTGATCGAGATGTCCTGAGACGCTCTCTGTCATGGCCGGCTTATGTCTGGAATCAATGTCACGGTCACATCATCATCAGTCGTCACCAAAATTAGTCCCACCATTTTTGCTCTGTTGGTAAGGGCATTTATGATCTCAGGATCCGCAGAAGGGAAAAGGACGACAATCTTCCCCTCCTTAGTGAAGGAGTAGCTATTTCTGAATCCATTGTGTTGTGTCCTACGATAAAATCACAACCTACCCCTTGCCTCCCTTCCTGAACCAATCTAGTCTTCCCAGCTGGGTCATACTGACCCGACCCACAATTACGTAGATTTTTAAGCTCCGAAAAACGGCAAAAAACTTGACCCAATTTAAATTTATGAGGTTAGTGTGCAAAATATATTTTATAAAATTTAGAATTTGAATTATATTTCGCACACTAGGGTTCTACACAAGTATACGCATTCTTTCAAGTAATATAGGGTTTTCTTTTAAGACCCAGTATCGATCCCACAGAGAAGCGATGCAAGAAATCCCTTAGGCAAATTCTAGTCTACTACTATCAGGCCTTAGTTTGGAATGTCGATTAAAGTAATTTTTTTAACAACTATTTTTAAATGAAAATCTTAAATATAAAAATAACTTTTCTAGATGGTTTGAAAAATTTTGAGAATTTAAAAACTACCCCTCGTGCAATGACCTAGATAATGTGTAGGAATGCAATGTTTAGAATATAATATTATCAGTGACAAATAGGAACATACATATTCTTTACCCCTCCCCAAGCTAATAAAAAACATTAGTTAACCTAGAGTTTTTCATCTGCTTATGTAGTAGTGCTGAGTAGATTCTGGCCTATCAGTTCCAGATTACCCACTATATACTCTCTATAGAACTTACTAGAGACCCTTAAGATCAAAACTCTAGACCGAATTGATAAAAGAATCTAGTCTGTCACCATAGAAAAATCAATTATACGCTCATCAAAACTTATTACTCTATCTATTTGCACTCCCCTCAGGTGATCACACGGCTCAGCCCAAGAAGAAATGTGGTACTCACCAGTTTGGTGAAATCATGGCTCCTCCGCGTCATTTTGTTTTGCAATAAATTTCTCACAAGTTGTCAGTTTACAAAGTCGATTAAGAGCCGGTGAAAATATCATCACATTAATAAAATAAGAGAATATCTAAGCAAATCTAAATTCTTGAACATGCATCTATTTCATTGTAAAAGAAAAGTAAATGATGATAATGACATAAGCAATAAAAAGATTGATATAATTAAGTAATAAATTATGAGTCAACAAGGAACATATGTCTACCTATTCTTTTTCGAGTGTATAGGCATGCTTACTATTCTATTAGTTTTATGCAATTATCTGTCATCTAGAAGCATCTAATAGAAACAAATCATTAAATTATATTTGCTTAAAAGTTTTATTGCCGCCTGAACTATTTCATTAGTCAACCGGTCAATGTGAGTGCACTCAATTCGTAAGAAGACTACTCTCCCGACTTTTAGTTTCACATGCAAAAAAAATTTTAACATAATTTTTTGCCGCTTAAATTAAGTTAATGAAACAGAGGAGATATTACTCATCACATGAAAATAAAAAAAATTCTATCATGAAACAAATTTTCCTACATATGTCACTACTTCATATTAAAAGAAAAGAGTAAAGAAAACTACTTGCGAAGCATGGATAAAACACCAGAAAAAAAACTTTGTTTAAATCAAAGAAGATCCACTAGAAAATGTTTACAAAAATTACAAGATAACGAATAATACAATAGATAGTTTTTTCCCTCTAAAAAAAATGAAAAATCTCTCCACCAATGTCTCCTGTCGATCATGCGCCGCCCATACGTCCTTGCTCATATCTCCCAAAATCCCTCACAAATCTCTCCAGAAAATATGAAAATCTATATCTTCATACTCACGCCAAAATCCTCCTAAATCACTCATTAACAACTTTTTTAAACTCTCCTAATTACTTGTCATGAGAGGCGTCAAACCTCTCGTTTTAAAGAGAAGCAAAAACCCCTCCTTTCTCCAAGAGACATCTCTTCATCCAAGAGACACACCCTTTCATTAAAAGAGACACATCTCTTCATTCAAAAGCTACTCCCAGTGTCTAGATTGATTTAACCACTCTAAGGGGCGTGCAAGCTGTCCAGAAGCTTCCAAAATGTCTGAAAATGGCCCAGAATCGACCAAAGACCATCCAGAAATCATCTGGGGCGCTATAGCGTCGGTTTAAAGTCGTGTCTGGCGCTATAGCGACATTTGCGAGCAGCTCCACTGTTTTGCCACGTTTCGCTCCAAATTGATTTATCTACAAAGTAAACATTAAAAAAACTTTTCCTTAAAATGTAATTTTATTTAAAAATATGTGATAAATCTAAAGGAGATTAAGCAAAGAAAGATAAATTGAAATGTGTCACATCAAAATTTACTTCCTTACTAAATGTGACTCCAAATTGCATCGTTTGTGCTTCATTTTCACTAAAACTCTAATTATTATACATGAAACCAAAAATATACAAAATACATTCCTCTAAAGAGCAATATCATCAAAAATGTATATAAAATGATCATGAAATATACACTAAAAACAGATAATTTTAAGTTGGATCACATACCTAGTTCAATAGCCCCGCATCATCAATCTTATTATGTGAGGTTAATCTACATGCATATTAAAGCGATCTACTCACTTGAGTAAATTTTTGGAATAAAAAGTCACTCATATTTGGGATATAATTTAGATCAAGTATGTTTACAATACTTCCACTGGTATATTATAAATTCTTTGGGTTCTATTTTCTTCATAAATGCATGCAAGTAGATTCTGCCACTTTAACTTTTAGGCCATTTACAACTTTGGGTTCAATTTGAATTGAATTTAACAATTTCTCTAGAGAAGTTTAGAATTGTTTTTTTCATCGCATGATTATTGGAGGGTAGAATTTGAAGTCATTCCTTCATATCAGTCCTCATACAAAATCGTCAAACAAAACTATATTGAAAATTTCAAACCTCGCCTGCATCTGACAAAGTAACACATAAT